TTTTTTTTGTAAAGGGAGTAGTATATTATCTCCGACCCAGAATACTTGACGATCTGGGATTGAAAAATTATCATCTCCATTCTATAATAATGGTGATTTGGTATTCAAACAAAACTTTTCATCTCCATTCTAGATTTGGTGATATATGGGATCAAAAAATTATGGATTAAGTCTACTTTTGGCTCCTCAACTATCATGTTGGTCTAATTTTGACCCCAAACTACAAAACTGTCTGGTTCAGGAACCTCAAGTTTAAAAACCGTTCACTCTTGGCACCTAGACACGGTTGTGGCTGTTTCATGCCGACGTGTATCTGGTTTTGATCCGCCACGCTGGCGTTGATCGGCACGTAGACGCACGCACGGGAGGGATAAAACCCGGCGCCGGCCGGCGTCCCCTATCCACCCCGGGCCCCGCCTCCCGCTCCGACCTCCACGGCGATCAACGCAATTGCTGGGCTGGCCGCTCAAACTCGTTTTACGCTCTAGACAGCCAACACAAATCCCTATCCACTGTTGTCACTCTACAGTATTCTTGACAATTTGACAGCCAGCATTACTCTATCTTGACAGGCAGCCATTTTCAGCAGCCATCGAAAACTGTCAACGCATGCACATGCATGCCATTTTCTGATAAAGTTGTAGCTAGCACTGACGGAGACAGAGCGATGGTCACCCATCTATCTATTCTTTTGGAACAAGCTTATTAGTCGTCTGGCAATGATTGAAGTGTCGTAAGCCTTGGAAATTTGTGCTAACTAGCAGTAGTTACAGCAAGCTTCTCTTGGGCCTTTTTTTTTTTTTTGAAAGGACGGCAAAAGATTTGCCGTAATTTTTATTAGACGAGGAAAGCAAAAAAGCACAGAAAGATGAAAAAACAACTGCAGCCTCAGCCGGGGTCAAGGAAATATCAAAACATGACAGCAAACCCCTAACAACTCCTAGATGAAAGAAAAAACGACAACCAAGAACACCACTAGACTCCGGCTTTGGCACAGGAACAACTGAGCACGAAAGGCGGCAAAGGAAAAAACTACTGCACTGTAGAGAGGATCGAAAGCATTGCCAAGCTGTACTGGGATATGTCATCCTTGCATAGAGAAACGACTTTACAGTTGCAGCTGATTAGTCGTTAGGAGTAGCTTTCATGTCCATTTTTGCAGACTATATGTGTTTGTGTGCTGCCTGGCTATTAACTTAGCTAGGTGCTTGTCCGCTTTCAGGTCTTTGAATTCTTTGCAGCCGCTGATGTGTGGTGCTGCTGGTGCACCTGCTAGCTGCAAGATTTCCTTGTTGTGTCATCTGCATATAGGTGGCATGCACATTGCAAGATGATACGAATTGGATGGACCTCGCCATCTGCCGTGTGGTGCCGTCGTGCACGCACGGCCTCCGATCCCTATCCCAAATTAAATCAACCTCTGCAGCTGTTCTAAGTCAAATTATTCTAAATTTAACTAAATTTATAGAAAAAAGTTTAATCTTTATGACATCAAATTAATTAATATCATTCGGTATATCAATAAAATATAATTCTATAATATACTTATTTAGTGCCATAGATGTTAGCAGTTATCCTTTCTTATAAAGTTAGTCAAACTTCAGATACTTTAACTTAAGGTGATCCTAGGAATTTATTTATTTTGGGGCGGAGCGAGTACTAGTTGCTACTACCTCTGCTCCGAAAATATGTTTTTTTTCCTAGTTCAAACTTCAAATTTAATGAAATTTTAGTTTCAACAAACTGAGGTATACTCTTTTATGATCTAGTTACATGCATATATTTCTCGACGTAATTGAACCGTATAGAGCTATTAGAGTTGACGGTTCAATCGGTTGGACACACAACAAACCGTAGAGCAAGACCTCTGACATAGCAAAGTAACATGCCCTCTAGTAACCAAAACTAACCAAGGTAGGGTTCTAGATAAATTGTGTTAGGGGACACAAGAAGATCAAAACACCGTGAGAACATGTAAATGTACTAATAACATAGTAATTAACGTGTGGCTTACACCAAAATGACTGCTATATATAAACGCATCCGTTGACTTCATTAGCTAGTGCCGACGTGCCAAATCGATCTTTTGCTTTGACGTGTACTGCGAGATATGGTGTCATCCCTGGTTCCTGCACTTAATAATCGTTCGCGCAGGGTTCGTGTCGTTCCTCTACTTAGCTCCCGCAGATCCGTCTCGGACGGATTTGTACAAATTAAAGCTAGGTGCAGAGATATATATTTGTGCTGAGGCATGCTTCCTGCGTAATACGTGTATGTGTGTGTACAGAAGACTATGAGTAGTAGTATAGAAATGGCGCAAAGCAAGATTTGCCGTCTTGTCGGGTAACAAGCTAGCTAGCTATTAATAAGTGTTCTGTAGGTGACGACTTCGACAATAAATTACAACAAGCAGATCCAAATCCAACTAAGTACTCTAGGCCTTGTTTAAATTCAGGGTGTAAAATTTTTAGGTGTCATATGAAAGTGTCGTATGAGATGTTTGATACTAATAAAAAAACAAAATACAGAATCCGTCAAAAATCCGCGAGACGAATTTATTAAGCCTAATTAATCCATTATTAGCACATATGTACTGTAGCACCACGGTGTCAAATCATGACCTAATTAGGCTTAAAAGATTCGTCTCGCAAATTAGTCGTAAATTGTGCAATTAGTTATTTCTTAGTTTATATTTAATACTTCATGCATGTGTCCAAACATTCGATGGGATAGAGAATAAACTTTAGAGGGATGAACTAAACAAGACCCTGATAGTCTAATCCATTATTGTTATAAAAAACACAAAAACTATGTACTCTAATAGTCTAATCCACTATTGTTATAAAAAACACAAAAACTACGTACTCTACTCCACGTCGCATAGTCTCTCGAGTACGCATGTGCCATGTGGTGTGTGCAGTGCAGACGTGCATTGCATACTTAAATTTGTGCGTATCTATCTGCTACAGGTAGTATACATATTTGCATGCGTCTGCAACGAAGCAGCAGATATTTTTGGCGCGCGCCAGGACAGGGGTCATCTCATATAATATCGTATATGTATTGTTATATATTCTAGATCATGCGTGTGACAGATCAGCGCACTTAGTACGTAAGCAAACAGCAACGTCTAATTGTAAACTAGCTAGTATATACTCCAGTTGCATCGTATATGCGCGCTGATCGAGTGAACAATTTTCTTTAATATGGACGGTCTCCCACCTTCGGAGGATTTCTATTTTTATTGTATGTATCTCATAATAACTCATATGAAAGCTACTCCTACATAGTTTCCATTTCTTAAAACTCTTCTTGATAACTTATCCACATGAGTTACTGTGACATAACTAAGCTTCGTTGATGCGATAAGTTTTGATCACGAACCAAACATGCCCTTAGTTTTGTGTTAAAAATGGATTCATTTCGGATTTTTTTTCCTTTCACGCTGCTGGATCCATCCGCGCGTAAGAATGAAACAGCACACAGCAGGGACAGCAGGGGTGCGCTCGCTCTGGCACGAATACAGGTACGTATACGTACGGTGCCATAGTCGCGTGGGTCGGTGCTGGCGTAGATACGTGGTTGGGCAGTGTGACAGTGTACCCTGGTACTCGTGCGTACGTCGTGTTCGTGTATGTATGTACAGACACACAGAGAGTACGCACGTTCATCAACACGCGGCACACGCGCACGATCCGGGGCAACGCAAACTACGGTGCTGCGTGCATGACTGCACAAGTTAAATTCTACCGTAGTATCTCTGTGCATGCAAGTGAAAAGTCGTTTATTTCGAATTAATATCGAGAGTGATTCCTCGCTTGTTAATTAACGTACGCCGTTGATAATGAATATCGTATTAGTTTGCTTCATTTTAGAAGCAAACACCTAACTGCACGTACGTTCACCCAACAAACACACGCACACAAACATCTTATCCAATCATACCGTTAAATCTTAGAATAAATAAAGCAATCACTTAACTGCATGTACACTGACCACATAAACATAAGCAAACACATCTAACGTACAATACCATTAAATTCTAAAATAAATCTAAAAAAATACGAGCATCTGTAAGGGACTTAATCTGGATGGACATGTTTCACTACGCTTAGTTCGCATCCGTATGTATATTCAGGCATTCAGCGCAATTAGTCATAGCATGACTGTGCTACCTCTTTGACAGTATATCGATGATGGCTACATGTACACATATATACTCCTTTTGGGTTCTTGATTGCTTGACCTCACGGATTGTCTCGTCTTCCTAACGACCGGCAGTTTGGTTTGGAGAAGCCAGGCTTCACTTGATTCTTGAAGAATTGCAGCAACATGGTACACAAGAGAGAACCTTCTTGCATTTGTACCTTCATGGGAACACAAGATCCTCCAAGCTAATGCTGTTGTTGGGCAGATATATATACACAATTGAGGGTCACTGTTATCTTTCATGCCACCCATTCTGTGCTTAGGTAGCCAGCACAGGAAATCGAAACAAAATATGCATACATGTAGGAGCTCAGGGGCGCAGAAGCTCATTTGCAGACACCACCGCCACCACCATTATAGCACAGCAGAACAGGCGAACAACAGCATAGCCGGACCATTGCAGCACAACGTGCAAATAAAAGCATTGCGATGTATCTAGGTGACATCAGAACAAGTCTTTATTATTATAGCAACTTCTTCAGCTCAACGGGAGTTTCAAGTTTCGACCATCGAATTTGCATGTGTTTGCATACAGGTCCAGGTACAGCAATGTAAACATCGCCAGCATCATTTGTTTCAGGCGTCACAAGGACACCAACAGCCCAGTGTAGCGGATACTACATATACCACAACTCACATCCGGTTCAGTCCGCACATCTCAACCTCACCCTCAACGGGATTGTTGGACCGAGTCCACACTACTTATTATCAAGGCAAAAAGTTTTTAATGTGCGTGCGGCAAATGGCATCTTCTGTATAAACGGAGTACTGCAGCTAAGCTGGGCATATGCTTATTCTTTGTTCTTGTCCTCGACGAGTTCTCCTTGCGGGACCAGATCCTCAGGAGACAAGTTCAAAGTCTCTGCGAGGAAAAAAAAGAATCATATGTGGCACATAGGAAATATAAATGCCAAAAGATTACTGACTAGCTAGTAGAAGAAAGGAGTACCATCACTGTCCGCAGATGCATAAGAAGTTCGACGGGCACGGGCATTCTGTTGAGTAGGCTGAGAGCAGAATTGATGGGGAAACATTCAAGTCAAGAAATTAACTTGGCATGACATAGCAATGCAATTAGGACACATAATAATTACTATATATGGGACTTGCTACAGGGTTATGATGTGGTCTCAAACTTATACAAGGTATCAAATAATTAGGACGTATAATGTATCAATACTGCCTCCCATATCAACTTTGATAAAGTCAATATGCTACAAGACAATTATATGGATCTGGAACTATCTTACAATAAAAATGCCTGGGATTTTTTCAACCATGTGCCCCATGCTTTTAGTGAATAGACCATCATGCATCTGATGTGGGTAGAAGTTGCTACCTGAAGCTTCGGTCGAAGTGCTTCAAGAGGACCTTTAGGTTTGTTGGGAACACCACCTTGCTGAAAGAGCAAAAGATGAGAACATATATCACATTTCTCTGAATAATTAATTAATATCAAATTCAATTATATTTGGGGGAAATCTATTACCTTTCCTAGAGCCCAATCAGCAGAATCAAAGTAAGCTCGTTCATGGTCCTGATAAGATGTTTCAATTTAAGATCATATTAGTATAGTGAAAAGAATGTAATATGCTCTACACCTATTTATATATGAGAAAACATCACACAATTTAAGTACATAGAGAAAAGCAGTGACATCATAAGGTAATGTTATTGACCTTAGATATAAGTGGAGTCTTTCTGGGTAATATTCCTCCATACTTTTTCTTAATTACCGCCTCCTGCAAAAACACACAAGTAGCAGTGAGCCAGTTAGAAGGCAAACCATACAAGTACATGAAACAAAGGCTGTGCGGATACTATAAATACACACAAACAAGAGAGAAATGGTGATGCCAAAAGACAGTACCTCCTCTTGTCGTGAGGGCATCCCACCCACTTCATTCTGGTCTTGAACTTCTTCTACTTTTTTATCTGAAACATCTCCTTCAACACTCACTTGGGCAGGTGCATCATCAGATGCCATCCCAGACATAGTAAACTTGAGCTGCAAGAGAAGAGTTCAACTTCATGATTAGTTCATATTCATGAATCAAGATGGTGATCGGGATAATTTAAGATGTACAACAGGTAGTGATGCACATATGTGAGACAATTAATTCCAGATTACCACGTGCTCATATTTTCTCTTAAAAAATATAATACGTTTATTTTCCTTTATGGCATAGTAGGAGAGCATCACCATAAATTAAACCAGGTGTCTAATGACAACTCTGTGTACTACACCAACATTGATTTTCCATCAAAAACTTGGTTAAGAATGAACTGCCTTCAACAGAAGATTAATAGAAGAGCAATGTCTGAGCAAGTGAATGGCAACACAGGAATGAGGACTGCGAACATACTTGCTATCAACAACAATCTCAGCCCTAAAGATCTCCAGTCAGATATGTTTCATAAGGTCAAGACATGTTGTTGACAGAAAGTTACCAGCAGGTCATTACACAAGACAACAACAAACACTAGTTTTAAGTTCTAACCACTACCAAATATACTGGAGATTATCTACTGTTCCTATCTACAAGACAGTCTAGAAAATATGTTGGATATCCTTTGTCTTTGTTAGTCACCATAAAACTTTGTTGTTCTGCATTGGCACTTTCCGAAACACACTTAGCCAAAGCTAGTTTGAGAAAAAAATCATTCACAGAGACCACCTTTCAGAGAGTGACACATTTATTGTTGGGAACTTATCAATTAACATTGCTTTCTTACCAAAACTGGCATCAGATTTTGTGTTAGAAAAAGACAGAAAAGTATCTGTGCTACGGATTTGCTGGCAACTCCTCCATAACAAGACTTCACCAGCTGGCAGACCAATTTATGTATCAAAAATATGCAGGCTCATGTTACCAGATTGTTTGGTTTGAAATATTAAAATGCAGAAACTAAGTCAATAGCATTTGATAGTGCAAAAATAGAATTCTCAACAAATCAAATGTGAAGGAAATGGTTAACTCATCAATTTTCTTTAAAGCATTCGTGATTTCCTACATTGTCATCACAAAGGCTGAAAGGGAATGGCATCTTTTCCTGTGTCGTTCAACTTAACAATATTTTTGCATAGTTCAGCACATGAGATTATCGTTGAGCAAAAATCTCTTTCTTCCTCAAAATCAGCAAACACATCTCCTATCACAGGATTGAATTTGCTGTCTATGCAGCATCGATACAAATATGCGTATCATCATTAGCACCAATACATGGATACGGCATTTTCTCCCAAAAGATGGTACATGGATACATGTGACTAATTTTCCAGAAAATAAGTAATAATGGACATCAATTATAACAGCAGGAACAATATATTAGCTTGCGATTATGCTCTTTTGCTGTATCCAAAGGCCTAAGCAGTCATTCTTATGAGCCAAGGGCCAAGCAGTATTTCAGATGCTCCACAGTGCCACTTTTCCGTCCAGCACGTGCACTATCAGCACGGCACTACTTGCCCTCTGCACTTTGAATAGGTGACAAGTGATAGGTCTTGGACAACAAAACAAACTTCCGTCACAGGGCCTGTTTGGGGGAAGTTGGTGTTTTTGCAAAAGCTACTGGCCCAAAAAGCTCACTTGGTGGTCCGAGAAGCTATTGATCTGAGAGGCTAGCCTGTTTGGCAACCCAATTTTTGGATACCCAGCTAGTGGCCTGTACACTGAACCTGAAGGGTGGAATGCATGAAATACCCTCTGTGGATAATGAATGGCTGATTCATCGTGAATAACCCCATAGAGTTTGGTTAATGGTAATTATTTTCTTTGACAGTTTCAGTTTTCATAATGAATAGGGCTAACACATTACAATTACTTCATATAATTAGGAATGCTTCGCTGTGTTTATCAAGCATTACACAAAAGGACATCCTCGACATGACATGTGTTTATCGTGCAATATACAAAAAACCTACTTGAAGCTAACATGTGTGTTCATCAGTCACATACAGAATAGTTAGTTCATTATCAAGGGGTTGGGACACATGAAACAGGCCATCCTTAAAGCACTATCACTACCGACAAAGAGCACACCGCATTTGCGCTGTCCTTGAACAAATTCCATCTATAATAAGCAAACAGCTAGCATGCCATTTCCACTGTCCTCGAACATATTTGGCTATAAACAAAGACCACAAGGCATTTGCTATTCATCAATCCATGATGTCCACCACACTAAACGTTGATTAAATTAATTTCAAATCGCGCGCATCTTCACGTCCGTGTCAGCATCTCACAGGTGTATAAATCGGCACCAGGCAATTTTTTCCTTTTCCGATCTGGAATTCGTGTACAGCCACAGGCTAAACGGAGAGGCGGTGTGAGGCAGCACCAGTCATACCGTGGGGGGCGCGACGGCGAGGCGAAGGCGCGGGAGTCCGGTGGATTCGGGGTTGTGCTGGTCTCCTGCTGCAGAACGGGGAGGAGGCGGATGGGGGAGCCCAGAACGGGCGCGGGGAGGAGCGGGAGGCGTCGATCCGGAGCTCGGCGAGGAAGGGTGGGTGCCGGAGCAGCTGGGCCGCGCGGCGCGGCCGTCGGACGGGCGGCGCACCCGTGCGAAGGCAGGCGAGAGACGGACGGGTGGGGAGGAAGAGGAACGGAGGACGAGGGGGTGGGGGCGCCGGCAAGGATGCCGAGGGTTGCGTGCGGGGCGCGGGGGTATTTGTGGAATGGCAGAAGCGGGTAATTTCGTTGGCTCGCAAGGCCATATCTATATTCTCAAAATCCGATTTACTAATTTAAATTTGATTTGATGACGAAATTAGTATATTGGACTTGCTCGTTTTTCTCTACACTGCTTTCATGCCTAGTAGTCACTGGTCAAGACCAGATCCAACACGGGCTTTGATGGGATGTCGTTGGATTCACTTTAATTTACATGTGTTAGGGTAAATTTTAGTGGAATCAATTGATATGAATTGGACTACATTCAAATAGCATGTGTACAATTTAGATAAAAATTAGTTTTTAGATATACGTAGAGTGTTTGTAATGTGATGATGTGCCTATCTATAATCTAATATAATTATTCTTTCATTTAAAAAAAGAAGACTCTGTTTGAGTTTGTGGTACAGTGGAAATATTAAAAGAGAGAGAGAGAGAAGGAACGCTCATTGCGGTGTTGTTTTGGAACAAAAATCTGAACTACACGAGTTTGCACCAGCAGAGCAGAGTCTAGACTCATCAAGATAACTATTCGTTTCAGACTAGTTTTCTCCTTTTTTTATGGGTCCCACCTATCAGCGCCACGGGGCTTCCTCCGAGGGCGCAACAGGGGGCCGCGTGCCAAGAAAGCCTGGCCCGGGCCCAATAGCGGGCGGCCCAGGTGAAAATCAGGCGCCAGCCATAGCCCATAGGTCCTACTCGACGAAATGCGATTTCAGAGTTTTGCTTGGAAGCATCTTCGCTGCGATCTCACTTAAGTCAGTGTACAGGCAACTTGTTCTGAAACACATCATTATCCTTCTGCGCAAGAAGGGAGTATACTTGAGCAAGGAGTGCATACAAGAAAAAAAAAAGTGTAATATACTGAAGCAAGCATTCAACACAAGGAGCAGCTGCAGCTAATAATTGGATTGGAAGCAGAGTATATATATTTGTTTGAATAAAATACACTGTAGGTCCTTAAATTATTGGCTTCTTCCCATCTACGTCCTCAAACTATTAAACCAACTATCTAGGTCCCTGATCTATTTCCGCGGCACACGCAGTGTCCAGATGCAGCCACGTCAGCCACATAATCCGACGTGGCCATGCCAGAGTGACAGATGAAGGGCGAGGTCATGCCAATTTAGCAGAAAAGCCCCCGCCAATGTTCTGTTCATTAGTTGGTACTCCGGCCTTCTCTTCCCCAATCTTTTTTCAGGCTGCTCGCCGCCCGCCGCTTGCTGCTCGCCGCCCGCGGCCGCTATCTCCGGTCCGGCCGCCCGCGCCCGCATTCTTCGGTCCGCAGCGCCTCCACGCAGTCTGCGATGTCGCTCGGCAGCTCGTCATCCGCGCAGAGGGTTGGGCCCCTGAAATTGGGCGCGCGCACTGGGCTGCCCCTTATGCCGTGCCCTAAATGCGGCGAGGAGATCCTCGAGCTCACTTCGGGTCCAGGATCTAAGGTCCCGGGGGCCATCTTCTTCAAGTGCCGGCTCCATGAGAGAGATGCAAGTGCCGACCTCTTCAATTGTTCCCTCCCTGTTCAACAGCGATGATACTCTTGTTGTAGTCTTAGTGTACAAATTGCAGGACTCTACAACTTACCCTTGGTATTTGTTTGCCAACAAGTATGAGAAGCTGCTGATTGCCAAGGGATTGGTGGAGAAGAGAGGGACCGCTGACGCTGGCATTAGGCAGGAGGATTCCATGAATGAAGTTGAGCAGATCAAGATTGCAATTGGACGCTTAGAGGGAGTAGTGGAAGCAAACAAGACTGAATTGACACCTTTGCTTGCTGATGTAGTGTCTCTGAAGAATGGAAGTGATAGAGTAGCTGAAAAGCTACAGAAGTTGGTAGACCTAGGAAAAATTGTAGCAGTGTGCCTTGTAGTTGCTGCTGTTTTTCTTGTTCTGAGTGTAATAACCATGTTTTTCATGTAGAAGTGGCAGCTTAGTACCTCTACTGAACCATGTGTTCAAGTATGTTTCAGTTTACAAGCTGTAATAACCATGTTCATGTTCAATGAATGGAATATGAGTTTGTATCAATGCAAGTATGTTTCAGTTAGCTTTTATGCAATTCTCTTGCACCAAATGACAGAAGTTGATAACATGGTGACATAGACCAGATCACTGGAATTTCATTGTCAATTCAGTCACTGCAGTTACATATCATAGCTTAGGCCATTAGTTCTTTGACCATCAGTCACTGCAGTTACATACCATAGTTTAGGCCATTCCTTCTACCACCATACTGTTTGCATTGCAAATGATCTATATATCTATGATCACTGCACAAAAGGCAAGCTTAGCTGCTTGACAAAAGGCAGCCATTGCTGCTGTACAAAAGAAACAGTAGCTGCTACACAAAAGTAAGACATCACACTGTCTTCACTTCTCTCCATTTGTCCATTTCTTGGACTTGGATTTGGCCTTGGCTGCCTTCTTCTTCTTCTCTGTAGGTACCCTGCTGGCCCTCACAATCTTGGATGCTGTTGTAAGTGGCATGTGTCTTGTTGGTGGGAGATTGGAGCTGATGTAGGCACAATCTGGAATAGGTTGCCTCACTGCAGTTTGCCTCACAGCTTGGGCAGCCTGCAACAATGGGATCCAATTATTAGTCTTACAAAGGAGAAAAAAATAGTGCTAGGAGCTAGGATGCTAGGAGCTAGGAAGAAGGTGTTGCCTCATCTTGCAGTTGTGACACCATTGGGTTCTCCAAAGTTGACATAAGTGGTTGTGTTACACTTTCTTGTAGGTTCATCTCCTAAAGAAAGTTACAAATGAGTTTCATATAATGTCATCCAATTAAGCATTTGGTTGGTTTTGCACAAACCTGGACAGTGGCAGGTTGTTGACTGGAATGTTGATCTGGCACAGATGGACTAGCTTTCTTCCTTGATTTTTTCATTGCTGGTTCTCCTGCTTTCTTTCTCTCACAGGTTGCTGAGTTGTGCCCAGGTTCTCCACAGTGACTACAATCCATGGTTACTCCATGTTTGGTTAGTCTTGGCCCATTTGGTTCACCAACTTCATGTGCTGCTTTCCTTTTAGCTTTAGGTGGCCTTCCAACCCTTTTTCATACACAGGAGGTTGAAATTGTGGGCCACCAACCTTTTCCCAAGTGGACTTGTCATTGCATGGGTGAATGTAGCATCCATATGCCTTCTTAAAAGCTTCAGTAGAGTAACACCAGGGCAGCACTGACTCCTCAAGTATCCTCTCATGCCTCAGGCAAGAAATTGCATGACTGCAGGGTATACCTGTCAAGCTCCACCTCTTGCAATCACAATGCCTTCCTCCAATGTCTACATTAAATTGCCACTCCCTGTCATGAACCTCAAATACACCACTCCCACTTGGTATTACATAGCATGTGTTGGCCATCTCTGCATGTCTTGCTAATTTCTTCCTGATCTTTGGACAGATCAACATCCCTCTCCATTTCTCTTGCACTTCTTTTTGTTTGTTGTAGTGCCTGGCCATGAGCTGTCCCTTGGTCCTTTGCAGCATGCTTAAGATAGGAAGTTCTCTAGCTTCTAAAATGTACCTGTAAAACACTTCACAGGTATTGTTCAGCAAAATATCACATTTTGGGTACTCACTAAAAAATGCCCCAACCCAAGTGTTTGGGGCCATTTTCTCTAACCAAGTATGGGCATTTTTGTTGAGTAGTTTCATTTTGTCCATCTCTTGATTCCATCTTGGCACTGTACTTGCCCTTGCACAAGCCCAAAGCTGATTCTTCAGGTTTTTCCCTTTGAACTGCCCTTGGAAGTTGGAGTAGAGGTGCCTAACACAAAACCTATGTTCAGAGTCAGGAAAGGTTTGTTGAACAGCAGGGATTAAACCTTTCTGTTTATCTGTCATGATGGCCCAAGGTGTAGTATTTTCTATTCCTATATCTTCTTTCAAGTGCTCTAGGAACCACTTCCAAGAAGCAAGACACTCCACCTCAACCACTGTCATTGCAACAGGAAATATACAATCATTAGGATCTATTCCTACAGCAGTTAGCAATTGACCTCCAAATTTAGTCTTGATGTGGCAACCATCAAGACATATAACAGGTCTGCATCCACTTAAAAATCCCCTCTTGCATGCATCCAATGAGAAATACAATGAACTGAAACAACCATCAAGCAATTTCAAATACAAAGTGCTTCCTAGATTTGTCTTCCTAAGTTCCTGCCCATAGTCCCACAACTCAGTGTACTGCTGCACTTCATCTCCATATATCAAGTTCCAAGCCAGTCTTCTAGCTCTAGATAATTTGTTCCTAGATGGGGTCAAATTTAACTCCAGCTGCACTGTCTTTGCAAAATTTGACAAACTCATCTTCTCATCAGCTCTGAACCTCTCTACATATTTGTTGGCAAGCCATTTTGCAGTACACCTTTTCAATACCCATTTTTTCTGACATGTGTGAGTCCCAACATAAGTCTTGATGACAAAACAGTCCACCCTTTTGTCTTCTGAAGCATACAAGTACCATGGACATTCTTCATCACAATGAGCTTTGATTCTAGTCCTATCATTCTTGAGCATCTTTATCTCCACTCTATTCTTGATACTATATTCAGTAATTGCCTTTCTAAGCATCTCTACTAAATCAAACTTCATGCCAACTTTGAAAATTGGGTTCTGCAAATCTTCAGGTCTGAAACTTCTCATGTTCTGCCCAGCCCTACCCTCTTCACCAGATTCTGGTAGCTCTAATTCTTCTTCATCAGAATCCAACTCATCCCATTCTTTGCCTACTGGTTCATTGTCTACTGGGCCAAATCTTTTCCTCCCTGCTCTGACCATTATCCCCTTTGCAGCACCCTCATCAACCACACCTTCATCAACATCATCACAAAAAAGGTCATCATCATCATCTCGAACTGCATAGTCACTGTCAACAAAATCAACATCTGAACTGCATTCACTGTCATCACCATCAGCACATTCTGTCCTAGCAGGGGCAGGCACCTTGGGTAAGGTTGCAATTGGGTTGTACACAATGTCCTCCCAGTTGTTGCCATCAACAGTATTGTAATGGTCCATATAAAGCACATAATTCTTGACCTTAAATGCAACTTGCTTCATTATCTGTGCTTCTTTATCTGATGCAATCAAACACAAACCGGTTGACAAGTCCTGCTCAGGCAACAACCACCACACTGGAACACCCAGATCATAACCTAGCACCACTGATATCTCATCTACTGCATTAAAAGACCAGTACTGCACTTTGATATTGTCGAACCAATCGACCTTGCCATCGAGGTACACTCGATCAACACCAGACCCACAGAAAAATCCATTATGATGCACTTCCACAGAAAACTCTTCATCGTCAGGCCCTAAAGAACGAAAAACAACCCTAAAATTAAGCACCGAATCGGAGCATATCAAGCAAGCCTACCAGACCAACTACTACGCCTCCAAATTGATCTGGCACAGATAGCATTGAGTATAGGATACAGCTCTAGGGCACTTACCATAGGTTGGAGCCAGCTCCCCTTTCAATCGTCGACGCCCTGCCATGGTGCCGCCGCGCCGCAATTTGTGCGGCCGGGCGGCACCCACCGCGGAGCTCGTTGACACCGACGTTGGTGGGGCCGCGAGTTCGCCGCAGCCCCGGCCCGCCCTCGTGATCTCTCCCTGCCCGCGAGTTCGCCGCCGCCCCGGCCCGCCCTTGCCTTCTCTCGGCTGACAGAGATTGGGGGAGAGGGTGGCTGCAGTTGAAAGTAAGGAAGACAACGTTCGGCGGGGGGGGTTGATAAAATGCGATGACCTCGCCCTTCATCTGCCACTCTGGCACGGCCACGTCGGATTATGTGGCTGACGTGGCTGCATCTGGACCGTGCGTGTGCCGTGGAAATAGATCAGGGACCTAGATAGTTGGTTTAATAGTTTGAGGACGTAGATGGGAAGGAGCCAATAGTTTGAGGACCTACAGTGCATTTTACTCTATTTGTTTTATTCATCTAGTTCAATTTACATCATTCATCTAGTTTAAAAAGAGTTAAATTTACATCAGTAAAAAAGTATAACCCACAGAAGAACTATGCAATTCATCTTCTCTGATTTAAATCTGCCTGAGACGCATCATTATGGAACTCCTTTTTACAGCTCGTCACAACGATCTGACTGACCATGATCTGTCCTGTCAATTCCCATCGAACAAGAATCAAATCATCGAAGACAACGAAGACGATTAGGTCTTGTTTGAAGCAAATAAATCAGTCATTTTATTTATCAAAGCAAAGAATGACCACACTAGCTATATTCAATATTCATCAAAACATAGAAAGATCAGGTCGTAGTCTATGCAGCGCTGGTGAAAGCGAAGAATCCCATCTTGTGACAAAGGCGAAGCACATGGTGTCCATGAGCTTTCTCTCTTGAATACAGTGCATCATCAATTTCCTCATGCGTACAAAGTGTCCATATATAAGATTACAGTGAGCATCATCACCTGAAAGAAGATGTGTAGGCACTATATTGCTGCCAATTGACGCAGAGAGAGATAGTCAGATAGATTAGTTATATTGATAGTATTCACAAAACAAAATTATATTGATAGCATGCATAAAAGGGTGCAGCCCCAGTGCACGTAGCTCCTGCTTGCGCAGGGTCAGGGGAAGGGTCTGACCACTTGGTTCTTTTATACGGTACGCAGCCTTTACCTGCATTTCTGCAAGAGGCTGTTTCCAGGATATTGATAGCATGCATGAGGAAGGTAATCAGCGAGCTGAGACAAAAGGGTAGAAGCATGCGTGTATTGCTAGTATGTATCATAGTACTAATATTAAATGTGTTTTGCCACATGGCAAGTGCCAGCAGGGGTATGGGAGAAAGGGTTACAACACTCAATACATACATAAAATCGTAGTTACAGATACATACCAGCTGTTATTTTCATATTTTGACCTTCAAGTGCTGCAGCTCACATCCTCCATCTCTGTTCTGCTCAAACTTGAATTGCTAAGCCACTTGATGTTGGCTGCAGGACAACCTGGGTGCATGCAAACAGTGTTTCTCAATGTGGACTCTGCAGCCCTTCTGTTGGTTTACCATCCGCACACAAACTGGTTATGCTCAGGAATGCCAACCATTAGCACGACAATAATTGCGTGAATTAGTAAGTGCACGCGCATGTTTGACTTTCTTGAACAAATTATATGCGGTCTCAACTTTGTCCATCTCCAACAGCTTGTTGTTCAGTTTGCTGCAAACAACTCTCCCAAGACAGAAGCCATTCCGAAGTGATTCCTCTACCACAGACACAGCAGCATCAACCTTACCCACACTGCAAAGCCCATTTACAATAAACTCGTAAATCTCCTTATCGGGTTGATATCCGCACTCCTGCATCTCTTCCCAAATGTCCAAAACAATTCCACTCTTCCCAAATTTAGCGAGCCTTTCTAGCAAAAGCTTATAAGCTTTCAAGGATATCACACAACCAGCCTTCCTACTCTTTTTGTATATCATCAAAGCAGCATGAGGTGGTCCAAATGTACACAATGGATTGATAAATGATGTTATCATCCCAGTATTTGGCAGAACTCCTTGGACCAACATGTCATCAAACATGTGGAGCGCATCAGCTACCCTGCGACCTCTCAAAAAGGCTTTAATCATCTTGGAGTACGTGTCGATGTTTGGGGGACAGTTCTTTTCCAACATATCCTTGTAATACTTGATGCAACTGTCCAAATCCCCAACTGAAATAAAATTGAAAATAAGTGCATTGTAGGTCATCGTAGTTGGACCATATCTCCCATGTACCATATTCTCAAACTCACTGAGTGCGTCCTCAGTCTGCCCGGCTCTACCCAATCCCTCAATTAGATGGCAATGTGAAACCTCATTTGGAACTAGCCCATCCTCCTGCATCTTTGTCCAAACCTCCTGCAATTTATCAACACTCCCAAACCTTGCCCAACCACCCATGACATCATTGTACACATCGCTATCAAGACCAAGCAACTCCTTACGAGCAGCCTGCAAGAGTGAGCTAGCAAGACCAACATGTGACCTCCGGCAAAGACACCTGATGAGGACAGTAAATGCCTCCTTTCTGTGGCAGGCTTTCCCAATCCCAAATCCAAATTGGTCGGTACTGAGCACCTCAACAGCCCTACTGACATGCCTGGCGGCAACTAGGCTATCAATGATGATCTCCAGCGTGGTCAGGTCTGGAAAGATGTTGTTTCTGCGCATGATCTGAACGGCGTCATCTAGAAAATCAAAGAATTTCTTCCTCCCCAATGCCCTAATGACAATGTTGCAGGTGTGGACGGATGGGGGAGGCTTGGAGTTAGTGACCGCCCAATCGAAGAAAGTGACAGTGGCGGCACCATTGAGTTCGCCAGCGTTGACGACATTGGCAAGAACATCTGGTGAGAGCGCCATGGCAGCGCCAATGCCTGTTGAGGATAGCGCCTGGTGTAGCGCAGTGCGGCCAGGGGGCTTGAGGAGGAAGACCCCACGGAGGCGATCTGCAGCAGATAGGAGCATGGCGGTAAGCGTTGGATGGGGGTCAGGAGGAGAGTCGGTAGAATGAAGAATAGTAGGGATTGGAGGTGGATTGGTAATGGTAGGGGAGGGGAGGAAGCGGAGGGACGAGATGACCATGTCCTCAGCTGAGGCTGAGGTAGAGTAGCTGCGGCAACTTTGGAGGAAGAGGAGGCGCCGGGCCGCCATCCGTTTGCCTCCTTGGCAACCCCTTCCTGTTCACGGAGACAATCCTGGTCGGAGGAAAGAAACCACGGCGGGCAGCAGTGACCGTGGCTGCGAATGGCAGAGGCTTGGGAGAGACGATGCAGAGATGGAATGGTAGAGGGTTGGGACAGGCGATGCGGAGATGGAATGGCAAGAGAGGCAGAGCTTGTGAACCGTGTGTCAAACACCACCGCAGGCGGCAGTACCCATGCCCATCCTTGAGGCCATCCCACCTGATATGCAGCAACAGATGTTTGGAATTAGTCAAAACATAAAGGTTTAGAGCTTGCAGAAAGGTTTCTCATGCTAACCAGGGATGAGGAGAATTCATTTTTATCTAATCAACTGCAACTGATGATCCCTCCATCCCAAATTATAAAACGGTCCAACTTTCTTGGAGAGTCAAAGCATCTCAAATTTAACCAAAATTATAGAGACAATTACAAAGATTTATGATATCAAATAGATATATTATGGAAATATAATTAATGAAGAATCCAATAATACTTATTTGGTATCTAAATGTTATTATTTTATTATATAAATTTGGTCAAACTTGAAATGCTTTGACTCTCCAAAAAAGTTGGAAGGACTTATAACTTGGGACTGAGGGAGTACAATATTATAGACCTTGCTCCGCAAGAGAATCTCCATACCCTAAAAACTGAAATCCAATTTTACCAAAGCAGCATCCAATGGGAAATGATTGGTGAAGGCAAGTTCTTCACAGGAAATGTGGTTTTGTTAAATTGACGCTGAAGGTCGAGAGAGCAAGAAGCACTCACTCACGACTGCAAACTACTGAAAGCGGCACTCACTTGAACATGATTAGATCAGCTCTCCATAAAACACATAACTCCATTCCCCTGCTCCCCATGTTCTCACTCCGAACAGAAATTAGAGCTGCTGCATAACACATGTTTCTCATTTGTCCAGAAACAAATATATGTTTTTTTTATTAAAAACAACTTGAGTCTTCAAAACGTTTTAGCTAGATAGATAGATCCTTTTAATCCTACCAACCTGTGAGGAGTGACCTTCCTTTACCGGAATCATAGAAATTGCATTATAAGCTCAGTGAGAAAAGCTAACAATGAAAGTTTCGTTAAAGAACCAAAAAAAGATTTTTTAAAAACAATTTTGCAAGACTTGCATGCTTTACCAGAATGGGCTCAAGATACTACTGCATTTTTTGCACCTGCAAGTCTGCAACTTTGATGAGCACAATGCAGTGCACCAAACCCTGAACAGATAGATCTCCATCTGCTCCACCTTATGTTTCAGCTACTTGTACTAGCGCAAGATATAATATAACACTATTTCACTATCCAAGAATAATTTCAGTAGCAAAATACAATTTTTTTTCAGAAAGAGATGCTTGACTGAAACAATTGAGATCACAGCCACCACATCTACGAACATCGCTATCTGCATGTCTCGCCCAAATGAATCGCTCAATCGGGAAGGGGAGGAAAAGAAACAGTGGATGTGGATCTGTACCTCTTGGCAAGGCGCAGGGATGGGAGGATGGGATCCTTCTTCTCCAAGTCGAGGGCCTGGAGCAGAGCGGAGCATCATGGACACCGGAGGGAACGCCGGAGCAGAGCACCAGGGGCAACAGAATGGGGATCCTCATCGCCGCTAGCCGTATGCTTACTGTCATCCATGGCCTCTCCTTCGCATTCTTCACTGCAGGGAGCGGCTCCACCGAGATCTCAGTGCTCCCCTCCTCATCAGCAGCGGAGGGCAAGCAGTGACAGACCCAAGAGGGTATGTCTACCTAAAAATCAATATGCAATAAAACATATAAAAAATAAATCCAGTAGACAGTTCGGTACAACTACACAAGTAAAAAATAACCAAAAAGAGATACTATGCCTAAATTCACTAAATAAGTTTGCAACATGCAAAACATGGCAATATAAATTGTCCAGGCATAAGAAAAGTTCTTAAGTAAATAGAAGATTGCAATACTAGTCTTGGGCTTTTGCTTTTCGTGCATCATTTTTAGCCAATGAAATATGCTATCTTCAACAATCTCACCACTTTTTGTCACTCTCAAGACCCAAACCATAAAAGGGGGGAAATTGGCCAGCTGCTTTTCAATAGTTCTTTACTCTCTCCCTATTATCGCACTAATGGTACCAATTTGGTGAGCTCTATTCGCTGGTCAGTGGTCAGTCATAGCAATCACTGTCACCACATGCTTCAAGAAATACCATGAAACTGGCCTGCATCCTGTGTCTCTACTAAAATCACAGAATATCTAGTTGTAAGAGACGGGTGGAAGAAATGCTTCTACATTTTTTCCCCTGAGCACACGCTAGCGCAAGGTCCTATAGCTATAGGATATCCGAAACTCTTCTACGTGGAATTCATATGCTGAATCAGCAATTCGTATTTCACACTCAGTCAATCACCAATGACTCACCAGAGATGCAGAACAGCAGTCGGCGGTTAGCAGAGGCAAAGCAGCAGGAGCAGATGCAGGGCACTAGAGCAGCGGCGGCGTCGGCCGGCGGGCACTGGACACTCGGGCAGGGGCAGGGGCAGGGGCAGGGGCAGGGGCAGGGGCGCTGGCAGCCCGGCCACGCCGCAGCAGTGCTGGAGGGTGGGGACGGGCGGTCCAGCGGCCTAGCGGAGTCCAGCTCCGGCGGCGACGGCGCTCACGCGCTCAGCTGGAGGGCGTCGGGGTCAGGACAGACGGGGCGGCATCGGCTTCTCATCTGGCAGGATTGCGGCGGCTTCGTTGGGCAGCTTTATGCGCAGAAGCCGCCGGCGTCCGTCCGTCCGCGTCGCCAGGGAAGGCACAAGTTGAGCCTGGAACTGACCGGGCCGGAGGAGAACATTCGTTTCCTTGGGAGCCCGGTAGCTGTTAGAAATAATCCACGAGCGGTAGTGTCCATGGCGTATCCGTGTGTCTCCTGTTAGGGTGATGTGCATGTTGGCTTTTTATTTTTATTTTTATTTTTGTTAGAATAGAGTCGCGTGTGTCTCTTGGACGGCAGTGCCGTGTGTGTGCCTCCTGGATGGCATGCAATAACTGAGACCGAGTCTACTTGAGGTAGTAGTGTCCATGGCGTTGATTTGCACGCTAGAAGCCACATTGTCCGGATGAGCAAGTAGCTCACGGTGTTGTTGTACGGGTCCTGCTAATCATAGCGTGGCGTGAAGGCCGGCATGGAGGCGATCTCCATGGCCTACATGTAGCCCCGTGCTCTTTTGTATTCAATTGCCAAGTCCAGTAAATATGTAACCAAAAGATACAGATGAATTTGTCACCGCGGCATTCGTCCATGAAAAATAGTGTCTTTGTGCTTTTTTTCTACCTCTCACCAAAAGTGTTGGCGTGCGTGTTAGTGGTTCCTGGACGAAGCCAACGACACTAGCTGTGAGCATAATTGACCGGAAGCCCGAAGACCAAACCAACGGAATTTCTAAATACTCCTATCTGGCAGCAGATTTCTTGGGTTGTTTTCTTCCACTTTTGTGTGGTTTTCATTAAGATTCATGTTTTTTTTTTCTGTACAGTCTTAAATAATAATGGGCCTTTGCCTTCTGTTCTTCCGACCCATTTAGGTAGTGCTGCTGCCTGCTATCATTTCAAACCGCTGGTTCAGTTCGAAGTTCGTATTCCCAGAGGTGTCGACGGTGGCTGCGGCGTTGCCGGCGGCGGCGGCGGTTGCAGTGGTGGCGGAGCTGTCTGCGGCGGTGGCGGTTGTGGTGGTGGCGGTGCTGTCAACGGCGGTGTTGGCTGCTATGGTGTTGTCTGCGGCAGCGGCTGCAGTGGATGAGGCGTTGCATCGGTGGCGTCAGTGGCGGCCGTGTTTGCTCGTTATCTGCGGCTGTTGCTTGGAATCGTCCTGCCAGTTGCCAGTAATTCAGTATGCTTTTGTTTTCCTCGCTCTGTTTCACACCTATATATGTGTTTCACATTCTCGGTTTAAGCTGTATCAATTCTTGTCCACGGGTTGTATGTGTATATTGCTTGTACCCCTCTACATGCTCCCTCCATCCCAAAAGATTATCCAGGTTCAAAGCTATAATAACAGTCTGTTTTGGAAGGAGGGAGTAATTGTTAGATATTCAGCCTGTTCGTTTTGGTTTATTCGCTCGTATCTGGCTTATAATCCACGGCTTAAACAATGTTTTTCTCTTACACCAAACCAGCCAGCAGTATTTTTAGCCATGGCTTATAAGCAAATTCAGCCGAAACGAACAGGCTGATTATGTGTTCTGCTACGTAGAACTGCTACGTAGAACTGAAAGAAGCTTGCTTATATGCAAAGTTATCTCTATTTTAAAAATGAAATAATGGTCTCCTGGCTTTATAGTTTTTTTAAACAAAAGTCAGGAGCTCTGCCGCTCAATTAAGACGAAAGAAAGTAATAATGTACAAGAAGGTTAGCCAACCGAGTAGCCAAAATGGCATCCGAGGGGCTAACCACCTCACGCGACGTGATTGAACACAAACACGACACACTGACATGGATCATCGTTGCTGAGCATGGAAGCAAAGCTGCCAGCAGCTTGGACTTCCCATGGCAGACCACCCACCAAGCTCAACCCACGAAGAGCAGCTCCGACTTCCAGTCGCAAACCCATGCCTCGCATCGAGGCCGCGGCGATAATCCAGATGCGACGCCTTCAGGAAAGGAGCGACGCCGATGGCACCACCGTCGCACGTCCAAAGTGGACCGAGTTTTCACCCTTGGATGACATGCTAGAGGGGAACACGACGCCTCCAACAGGGAAGCGGCGCCCAATGGCGTCGCCGTCACCAAGGTTTTCGCCCAAGAACCCTCTAGCACGAACGCCAGGTCGCGAAGCCAGACCTCCTACCAGCCAACACTGCCATCGTCGCTGTCCCGCCGCCCCACGGAAGCCCCTTCAGAGGGGCATCGACGCGCCGGCTGCACGCAGCAGCCGCACAGCTGCGTCGGCCGTCACCCCCTCCGTCCGGGCCACGCATAGCCGGACCT